ATATATTTCAATATAGCTGTCGCAAAATTTAAATGAATAACAAAGAGAATAAATGAATAGATAATATTTAATAGTACATTTATGTACGTATGTAGTTGCTTGTCTTTCAAAATATAAAATAATATTCACCTATGTTTAACTAAATATATGTTGATGTACATACACATATAAGTTTGTATGTAATTTTAATTCTCAAACAAATTAGATAAGGGATATTTTATTATAATAGTGTATTTTAGAAACAATATTAAAGAGGAGTTTTGAAATATATTCAAGGTTTGGCCAATGTGGCATTTGCTTTTGCAATTTAATTATTTTTATGCTTTTTTATTTTCTCTTCTTCTCTCTTGTTTACTTAATTTTGTGTTTTCTATCTATGGCGCATTACTGGGAAATATTGAAGCTATGACTTCAATATATTTTATCGATTAATTTTTATGACGATAATTTTATACTCATTTATATATGTATAATAAAATTTATATATGAAACTATAAATATATATTTTTTAGTTATATAAAACTAATATATACTTACATATATTATTTGTACGTACTTATATTTATATTTATAATTATATTATATACATATTTATTATATTATATATAATAATATACTAATTGTAAAAAAGAACTAAAACTTTGCTCTTTGTATAATACTTACATTTTATAGTAGAGTAGAGGTACAAGCTAAAGATATCAATAAAGTAGCAAAATAGAAAAATAAAAATTAAAGAAAGAAAAAAAATATATCATAATGTTTATAATTTGGGAAAAAATATGTAGGTATATACCTATACTATTTATTTTCTATTTTTAAACTTCGACATAGAGATTCGGATCGGGTGTAAAGCTATAATAATAACGTAAATCTGTATCTTTGATTTGTTATAAATATGTGCATTAAGAAAAGAACAGGAGTTTCATGCTCTGTTCGTGAGTAAAAAAAAAAATTATATTTAAAAAAAAAAATTGAGGCAAGTCGTTATTTCAACATTTTGTTAATGGTACTTTTTTGTTTTGTTTTTATTTTATGTTTTTTTTAATTTTGTATGTATGTATTTTATTTTTCTATTTTGAAATTTTCTTTTTTGAGATTTGTATTCTGCTTTTTTTCAAGTTTTCAATAATTTAGAAAATTTGTATTGTACAATTTTTTCGTAGATACTAGGTGGTATCCATATAATATTATAGATGTTAAATTTCTAAGTAGGTGTATAAGTATAATGTAGTATATATAAATTATTATAATGAAGATTTCTCAAGACTTAAGACAGAATGCATTTATAGCATTTTTAATACTAAACACTGTTATTGCTTTTTATTTTTATTTTTCTATTCACACATACATATATATGTATGTATACAAAAACTAAATGTATATGCACAAAAAAATTAGAGATATCGTATTAATAGATTTGTAAATTGAAATTCTAGTTCAAAATAGGTGAACGAAAACTTATTTTAAATACAAGCTATAAGTATGCACATAATTTACTTTTTGTTTTTAGAGAAAAAAGAAAAAAAAAATATGACTGTGATTTAAAAAAAAAGTATTTTTAAATTTGATGTTTATGTTATTTTGAACAGAATTTGAATTAAGTAATTTTAGAAATTTAAAATTTTCTTTATAAAATGCATTCTTTTTATTTAAAAAGACTTTTTTTAAGATAATATTTAATGTACATATTTGGTTATTTTGATTCTATGTAATAATATATAATAGTAAATTTCCATTAATGGTTGACAATACGAGAAATGAAACGTATGTCAACAATTGATGCAAAAGTCGTGTGTGTGAAAAACAGCTTTTTATAATTTATATTTAATGATTTGCTATTAATTGCTTCAATACCAAGCTTAAAATAAATTATAATTCTGGTTCTAAATTCTAAATTAATTTGATATACTATTATAAATTTAAAGTTTTTAAAATTTATTACTTTTATTATTAGTTTTATACTAACCCTTTTTTTTATAATTGAATTTTTAATATTTTTTCTTGTTTGCACTAACTATGGGCACTTATAGAAAGTAATCAAAATTTATTTTATTCCAATTTAATTCTTTTTTAATGTCTACGAATTTGTTATGATTAAGTTACCTATCTAAATGTGTAGAATTAATTATAATTCAAAAAAATTAATTTGCATTTATTTACAATTTGCTATAAAAATAAATTAAACACTAAAATACAATATATATATAATTATATTATAAGTACTAACCATATATTTAATAAAATGTTAAAAAAAAATCTTAAATAATTTTATAATGAACAATATTAAAAATGAAAATAATTTTATTTTGTAAAGATAGAACAAGTAACAAAATACAAAATGGAGATTTTCAAATGCAGAATATGCTTAAAAGATATGGAAACAAAACGAAGAAATATACATTTAGATGATGAAGTAATCATAAATAATATACGATCAAGTTATAGAAAATTATTGGATAAATTAATTGATCCTGTATGCAAAATAAACTCAAATGCAGATTCAGAACTAAGCAGTAAACATTTATTTGTTTTATTATGCAAAGAATGTTCTAATGATTTAAAAAATAATTATCAATTTTTACAAAAATTACAAAAATCTAATGATTATATTAAAAATTTGCAAAAGAAAGAAGAAAGAAATGCAGAAAATGTGGATACAATAAAAAAAGATTTATCAAATAATGAATTAATAATAAAATCATCAAATAAATTGAATATTTTAGATGAAAAACATTTAAAGATTGGTAAGACATGTAAAAAACGTCCAAATTTAATTCTAACAGATAAAGTTAGTAATATTTTATCAAAAGTACAAAAATTTACACCAAATATATCTGAATTTGAGTCCCATAAAAGAAATATAAAAAATAGTAAAAATTTTGAAAATACTATTAAAATAAAAGAAATTTCGAAGCAAGAAGAAGGAAAAGAATTCAAAAACTCTTTATCGAATGAAAAAAATGAGGAAATTGGAAAATGTTTGGAAAAAGATAATCAACATGATAAAATTAAAGATGTTATTTTAGAAAAGACAAATATAAATTTAAAAAATATTATGAAAAGTTCATATTGTGAACAAGAATACAAGCAAATGTTTAAATTTATTAATGAATAAAAATTATAAAAAATATTTTAAATACCTAAAATATTGTAAAAGTATGCAAATTATTTTTGCTATTGAATTAAACTAAAAAGAAAGTTATTTGAAAACTTATAATTTAAAAACTATTTATTTTTATAGTTATGGTTAATTTTATAAATTATGAAAAGAAAAAAACTAAATTTAATTATTAAAATTAAATTAACTTGTCATAAAAAAATTTATACTATCAAAATTCTAATTATTTATAGAATATTAATATAGTTATATAAATGTATTTTTTTTGTATTTAAGTCCAAGACTGAATACTATAAGGTCTTAAAGACATTTAAAGAAAATTAATTGAAATTTCATACCATATTTTTATTGCATTCTTTTTATGTTTATTTTTTTTTTAGCTTAAGTGATACATGATCAATGTAATTTGAATATAATTTATTTATATTAAGTTCTCATTTTTTTTTCATTTATAATTTTTGCTTTAAATAAATTTTTTTTTTCTTGATTTAAAGTATAATTTAAATCACATATTAAAAATATTCTTTTATTTTTTTTTTTTTTTGCAATAATATTTTTTATTATTCATATCATTTATGTGTTCCGAAATCTTTGTTTTAATTTATTTGATTTTTATTTGTAAAATGTGTATATGTGTTTTTGTCATATAATCTCCCGTACTTTCTAAGGGGCATCACATGATGTGATAGGATATTATTTAAAAAAATTGCAGTAATTTAAAAACATAACCAATATTAATTATACGATTATATAAATTGAAATCACAATGTTATTAAATAATATCATGTCACATAATTTGATGCGTTTCCGAAAAAATGAACGAATATTTCTAGGATTTTAGATATAATTTATATATAAACATCTTCTACCTCCCGCATTCATTATGTTTCCGTAGTCAATTTTATTATAATTTTGGTTCTTCACTTCTTCGATTTACCAACAAGGTTTAAGATTGAAAAGGTTATGCGAATTAAAATTCATTAATTTATATATTATAAAATATTAGAAATTTTTAATCAAATAATATTATAACTACAATTGAATAAATATGACTGAAATTCAAGAAACTGTAATTAAGATTATTTATTGAATCCGAAAAGTATGCAATGTTAAAATTGACTTTATGCAATATATGTTGAAAATTTTTTTTACTTATTATTTTATTAATTTTTTTTCGATTTTTAAATTGAAACAATTTTTTTCAAATTTTATTCCTAAGCTATAATATTTAATTTTTCTGAGTCATCTTCGAAAAAAAAACATTTATATTGTAAGTATATTTTAAAAGTTTCTCTATCGTCATTAATAAAGAATAAAATTGAATTTAATATTTTTTTTTGCTCCTTATTTAATTACGATCATTAATAAAATAATGAGAGAAAAAAAAAAAAGAATATATTTTTATGTACATAAATTAACTAATTATAAATTATTTATAATTAATCGGGAACTAAAAGCATCAAAATAGCAGTGAAAACATTTTTAGAGCAATATTGTTAAATGGTATTTACATATTTTGTATTTGTATGTATGAGGTAAAATCTGTTTGTACATACTCGTAGTTATGGCTCAGGTTAGAAAATTTTCAAAAAAAAAAAAAAAATTTTTATTTTTAGCCCACGATTTGTGAGTTTTTATTTTTACAAATCAAAGCTTGAGAGAGATTACAAAATAAATGAAAAACGAAACTTTATAAATAATTTTCAGTGAATTTTATTTTTGAAAAACAGAAAAGAAAAACGAGAAAGAAAAAAAAGAAAATTCTTATTTTTCTTTTCTTTTTTTTTTTTTTTCTTGTTTTGTTTTTCTTTAGTTGATATGAAAATTTTGAAATATACGCCGTGCTTGGAAAAAGAGGAGAAATGAAAAATTTGTGTTTTTTGTTTTTCTTTACTTGATTTTCTTTATTTTGTTTTTTTCTTTTATTTTTATCTTAATTCTGTTCTGATGTATGTGTTGTGTTTGTGCTCCTGTTTTTATACCGCACCGCGGTCCAATTTTAATTTTTGATTTTATTTAAAATTTTAGTTTTTCGAATGGTTTTTAATTTTTTTCTGTTTTTTCTTCTTGGTTTTTTGTTTTTTTTTTTTTTTGAGAACATGAAAATAAACGAATTCATCAGTTTATAATTTTCTTGCGGTCAATATAGAAGGGAAAACCTTTATATTTTAGAATTTATTTTTAATTTTTTGTTTTAAATAGAAGCTTAGAAAATATTTATTGAAAATTTTCCGCGTTTTTTTTTTTTGAATTATTTTATTATTAAAAAAAAAATAATTTTTTAATTACCATATTTCGCTACAATTCAATACTTGTACTTGTGCTTTTTGTATTCCGAATCAATTCGAAGAAATCACACAAAAAGAAAAAAAAAATGGTATTATATTTGAAATATAAAATAAATATTTTTGTTTTTATTATTTTAAATTTCAATGAAGTTATTGACTAGTTATTATATTTTAATATAATTAAATAATTATTATATACAAAATTAAATCGAAAATCAGAAAATAAATGATAAAAAATATTTATAATATGAATATAAAACGACAAAATTAATGAGAAATTTTAGAATTATTATAAAAAGATATTTTTGGAATTTATTAGTAATTACTTTTTTACATTTTTGTTTTTTTCACTTATCGTACTATAATTATCGTATTGGTGCACAGACGCTCTAGCCAAAAAAAAAAACATATTTTAAATTTAGCTTTAAAAATATTGTATGAATGTATTTATGGAATAAGTACGATATGTAGTAAAATATCCGCTCAAGAAAAATCAAAGATTATTCATAGATTTACGTAAAAATAAGAAAACAAGGAAAAAAAAAAAAAAAAAAAGAATTTTTCAAATGGAAGAAGATGATTTCAATTTTTTTTTTTTGGTTTTGTTTCTTTCTATTTTGTTTTTTTTTTTTATTTTTATTTAAGAATTTTATTCTTGGCAACGAGAAAATCAAAAAAAAAGTTTTCATTCTGAAGAAGCATTAAGACAAAATTTAAATTTAAAATAATCCAGAATTTTAATTTATTTTTCGAATGCTTATACGAGAGTTATACAAAAAACAAAAAATTCGATATTGCTTTTTGTTTTTCGAACAAGTTGGTCTTTTTTTTTTTAAATTGCACATTGATATATTTTAAAATAAATTTGTTATCGTTTTTCTTTTATTGTTTTCTTTATTTTTTTTTTATGAATCTATGGTAATATTATGATGCTCAATTTTTGTTCATTGCATAAAACACGTGAAAATCACAATTCCCTTATTTGCTTCTTTTCTCCTAAATTTTATTTGTAGTTTTGTTTTTTATTTTTCTTTTTATTTTTTTTTGTTTATCAACATTTTTAATAATAATACGTTGTTCTTGTTAAAATGAGGCTAAATGAAAAGAGAGAATGCATGCAACTAAATATTTTCAAATAAAATTCTATTTTTAATTCAAAGCGAAGATATTCAGTCTTCGTTCTGGAAATTAATTCATTATTAGATTTTTTGTTTTTTTTTATTAAATTTTGTAATCTTTACGAAAATGAAAAAATTACATAAATAAGTACATACATGCATATATTTTTAATTTAAGAAAAAAGCTGAAATTTGTTGGAATGAGTAGTAAATTTTTTTTTGAAAATAAAAAACTATTTTTGGTTCCCATTCAAATTAATATTATTAAAATTATGCAGATATTAATGTAATATATACGTAATATATAAACGACCCTTATAATCGCACATGATTTCAGAATATGCAAGATTATATTTATAAGTGACCAATTCTTTAAAATATGAATACCTATAACTGTACGATTTTTAAAAATATAAATAAATTTTATTATTGATAATCAAATAATCAGATTCTATTTAATTCTTCCCCCCCCTTTTCAACAACATTTTTAATTGCAACAGAATTGAACTGTAAAACACTATTCTGGAAAAGTAAACTTATATTGAAATAGTTTGATATTTAAAAAATTTATAATCAATAAAAATTAAATGCCAAAATACAAAAATAAAATACAAAATTTTAAAAATTTACTTTCATTAATTTTTAATTAATACGAAAAAAAAAAAACTGAAAATATTAATTAATGAAATTATTAATAAAAATTATTATAATATTTACTTTTATAGTTCGCATCATTCAAATTAAATCCAAATAATACAATTATGGAAAAAACTCCACGTTATACACAACGTGAAAGGAATATGGTATTAAATTATGCCGCTCAATATAAAGATATAATTGAAAATAAACGAACTGATGCTGAATCAAATCGAAAAAAAGATGAAGTATGGACCACAATAGCAAAAGGTTAAAAATTTATATTTATTAAAAATTTCCATAATTAAATAATATTAAATATTCTATTGTTTTCATATTAACTATTTATTCATTTTAGAATTTAATTCACGTGTTTATCATCAACGAACAGCTAAACAATTGCGTCAACTATATAAAAACATGAAATTATTATTAAAAAAAGATCTCACAACTGATGGACGGACTGAAAGCTTTATGGATATATTAACAGCCTTACAATCACAAAGTGGTAATCTTCCATTATTAGCAAATCATTATTCAGATGGTAGAACAAATGGTAAAATGAAGCAAACTAATAATAACAACGATAAGGTAAATTATTAATAAATACGTAAAAATAAACAATAAACTGTATTTAATTATTAATGGTTTTTTTTTTTTTTTAAATACATAATTAATTTTAAATTTTCATTTAAGGTGAATTTATCACAGTCGTATAATAACAATATATCAAATATTGAAAGTGATGTTGTTATAATAAAAAGTGAAGATTTAAGTGATAATGATCAATCATTTAAAAATGAAATGGATGATGATTCACTTAGTAATAAAGATATACCAGAAGTATGCCTCGAAGAAGATGATGATGATGCAATATTTGATCCTTCATGCATAAATCCTGTGGCCTCGTACCTTAATTTACATCCAAATTCAAATCATCATAATAATCATAGTCAACAGCAGTTACAACAGCAACAACAACAGCAACAATCACAACATAATTTGTCACCGCAAATTCAATTACAACAATTAATTCAACAACATCAACAGCAGCAACATCAATTGCAGCAACGACAGCAACAGGAAATAGCACAAAATCAACAACAAAAACGTTTACGGGAAAATAAAACCCCATCATCTATAAGACGTGAATTAAGTGATTCACCGGAACCTTTGAATTTTAATAATTCTAATGATGAACGTATTCATCATCGTAGTCTTAATAATAATACTTCTTACATGCAAAATAACATAAATGGTGAACGTTTACAGACAATTCAATTTTCTTCTGATCGTAGAGATAATCACAATAAAAGTCCACCATCACATAATATTCAAAGTGATTCAAATAGTCCACCTAGAATGAATGGTGATGATAGTGGTGGTGGTATTGATTGTGGTATTAGAAGGCGTACTAATAGCGGAACAGAATCTTTATTTGCTTTAGCAATTGAAGAACGTAAACGCAAAATTGAATTATTAAATGCACAAATTGAATATTGGAGAACATTGACTAAAAAAATTAAAATGTCGTCTACACATGATACAGATTTATCTGTTGGATTATGTAATGGTACATGCCCTTGCAGTCATTCAGTTTCACCAACACCATCGGTCAGCAATAACTTTAATAATAGTAATAATAATAAGGTTAATAATAACAGTAATAATCATCATAATAAAAATAATAATAATAACAGTAACAACAATAGTAATAATAATGGTAAAAATTATAATGATGATAATAATGGTAATGAAAGTAGGGTAGAAAATAATAGTAGTAATAATGATAATAATAACAACAGTACTGATCCGGAGGCTAAAGGAAATCAATATAGTGATCAAAGCTAGTTAATAATGAACTCATTTGATGAAGAAAATACAAGTAAAATAAACGATTATAATGACTACGAAAATGATGAAGTTTATAATGATGATAATGATGAAAATGAAAATAGAGAAGTTGCTGAAGTAATTTTAAATGAAGATGAAAATAGTATATTTAAATTTAAGAAAATTTATTTAACTTTTCATTCAGAAGAATAATTGTGTGCCGTTCATATTAATATTAAATCTGTATCTATTAAAAGATAAGGTTATTTTTTAATTTTTAAATTTTTTTAAGTATTAATGTAGTTAGACTGTAAAACATTTTTCTTTTTTTTATTGTTTACTTATGTTTTCAAAAGAAATATGTACAAATAAGGTTCCTAAATAGCCTTCATTGCATTATTATTATTATTTTATTTAATTTAAATTCTTTTTTTTTTTAATATTATTGAAAATAACAAATTTATACATACATATATAATTTGTTTTTAACTTATAAAATCTAGTCTTTTTTGTGTAAGTCATTCTATACCAAAATTTATGTTCGCTTTAGTCGTAGTTTTACAACAAAAAAAAAAAAAGTATTTATTTACTAAAAGAGCATTGAAAATTAATCGTCTTTTTAGAAAAATTATTTTGAATTTATAAATTAAAACGAAAACCAAAAATTAGGTTACAAACAAAAAAAAAATACAATTATATATAAGAAAACCAAAGATAAATTATGTTTTTATATAGGTGTATATGTACTTATATAAGCATATAAATCAGAAATAAAAAACATTTATTGTATTACAATTATAAGAAAGAAAAAATTCAAAAATAAACCCTAGTCAAATAAAAGTATTGTATTTTAGAAAAAATCAAATTTATTTGTGTTTAATATTTTGTTTTGCATGTAAAAGGGGTTGGCTAAGAATTAAAATATCTTGTTTTCTTAATATTATTTATTCTCTAGGCCAATTTTCAAAGTTTTCGAAATCAATTTTCATTTGTAGAAGTTGTATGAAACAGGAAAGTAGGTTCGTAGAAACATTTATAAATTTTGTCTGACTCAACAATAGTTTAAGACTGTCCTAATATAGTGAAATTATAAATGAGTTTGTTTAAAATATCAAAGCTCAAATTTATTTAAAGTCTATTAGACTTCATTATCAGATTAAAAAGAAATTCAAATTGACTTGCGACTTACTTTAACCAACTTTAATGAATCAGTTTAATGTTTTTAAGATACGTACTCTTATATTCAAATTTCTGATGAAAAGATAACATTGCTGTTATAAAACCATGATTTCGAAATTTGCAATTTGATTGGAAGGGCAAGTGTTCTACAAAATTAAAAAACCATAATTTAAATTCATTTTTTACTTTTATTTTTTTTATCTTTTTTCCGTTTTTTATGTTTATGGTTAACATTTGGTGATTTATCCCGTACTCTATCTTTCGTTTTCGATTTCTTTTTAGATTTTTTAGAATTTTTACTACTTTTACTTTCTTTTCTCTCTTTTGATTTACTTTTTTCCCTAAATCTTTTCTTGTACTTAGCGATATAATTTTTACGTAAATCCTCTTCATGACTAGGTAATAACTTGTGTTTGCTATTTTTACTATCCAATGTTAAAACACGATCTTCATTAACTTTTTGAGAGTTTTTATGACTTTTATGATAAACATCTTCCTCTCTACTCGTCTTATCTTTTTGGTATATTGAATGTTTTCTTTCTTTCGTATAAACGTTATTGTTATTTGTTTGATCAACTGATGAACTACATTTTGTTTTATATTTTTTCAAATTTTTTTTGTTATTATATTCTTCTAATGCACCCATTTGAATTTCAATTAGATTTCTAAATTCTTCTGTAGTAGATAATGGGGGATCTTTTCCTATTCTGTATTTTAAACGGCGTCGTTTTATATCTCTGCGCAAAGCAACAATGTTAGCAAAAGATCTTCGTTCCTCCTTTGAATTTTCTTCTTTGGTCGGCCTAAAATTTTAAAAGTGAAAATTGGTCAATTTGATTTTACCTTTTTTGTTTTTAAGTTAACTTACAATGAAAAGATTTCGGGTTCAGAATATTTTCCAGTTTTCTCAATAACATAATCATAAATTTTTAATTTTTGTTTTCGATCAAATTTCGTTTGCATATCGGAAAATTTATTTGGAAGTTCTTTTGGTATTTCACTATTTGTATTGTCATCTTGAAAAATTTTCGATAAATCTTTCTGATCTATGTATGTATGGAAGTATAAATTAAAAAAAATATAAAATTGGATATACGATATGTTCATATATATGTACAGGTATTTACCTAGAGTTATAGTATGCAGTTGCTTATATGTTTCAGGATAAAGTAGGTCTTCGGAATCCTCTTTATTATTTTCCGTTTTGATTCCAGAATTGGAATTGAATTCCTGAAAAGCAGAATATGTACATTTAATGAATCTTTAACAAACATCAAATACATATGTACTTATGTATAATTTTTATAAATATAATTAAAATCATTAAATTAAAGTAAAGGATCCGCAACCAGTGAAAATAATTTTAATCAGCATTTTAATAAACTGTTTCAAGAGCTTAATAAATTAACTTACTTTTAGAGTATCTTCTTTATTCCAATTTAATTTTTCTAAAATATTTTTTATGCGAGTTTCTGCATCTATCAAATAATTTTTAAGATCTTCAATTTTTTTATTTCTCTCGTTATGTTGCATTTCAAAGTTTGTTTACATTTTAATTTAAAGGACAAAAATCAAAATTTGAGGTTATTTATTTAAAGGGTGGACCGTCTTCTATTCTAAAGTCATATGAGCATCAATGTCATTTGTTTTTTTTTCAGCTACTATATGATACAGTTGATTTTCGGATAATATTTGTTGTATTTAAGATTATACACAATAAAATATATTATAAGTAAAAGTACTTATAGATTTTTTAAAATTAAATTAATTAAAATTTTCATTTAATTTGTTTTAACATTTTGACAGACGACTTAAAAAAAATATATTTCTTTTAAGTCAACTATCAGAAACTAGGTTTCGCTAGTATATTTTAATAAAATATTATATACACTGTTTTCAATATGAGAAATAGATGTCTCTTATGTTTAGCCATAATGTGAAATTGTCATTGTCAAAACTAATGTTATTTCTTTTCCGGTTTAATTTGTAAAGTAAAAGGTATTAATTTTATCTAGTAAATCTTTATTTTATTAACATCGTTGAAATTTAAATAATTTTGTAAAATATTTTTATGTTTATACAAATTGAAAATATTTGCAGAATTAATTTTAACATAAATATGCAAATGGATTATGCTGAATATGAGAAAAAATGTGTAAAATTATTTAATTGGTTTAACTTTTATTTTTGTAGAAATTAAACGATGGGTCGGTACGCTAGAGAACCCGAAAATACCACAAAATCATGTAAAGCCCGAGGTCCCAATCTACGTGTGCATTTTAAGGTACATAAATTATAAATATTTAAAAAACATTAATAAAAAAGAAATGCAAAATATATTAACGCGGTATAAAAATAATGTGAGAGATGTTTATATAAGTTTTATATTAAAAGTTTTAAAAAATAATTGTTAAACAATATTTTGAAGCTAAATTAATGATTTAATGCAATTATTTATTGAGTATTAAACAACAGGAGTTGTTAGGTTATAAAAAGTTATACCCACGTATTCATAACCTTATGTTTACGTATAAACAAAACATGGGAATATTTTATGTTAATTGGACATGATTGTAATTACACTTGCACTAAAATCAGTGTTGAGATACTTATTTGATCTTAATATTTTTGCAATAGTGCTATATAAATTGTATACCAGAAGAGCAAAATATCAGCTACCACAAGCGAAATTAACTTGCTTTTGGTTTCCTAGAACTTTTGCTACAGTTTTTAAAAAACAACTATTTTTGCAGCAAAGATACATTAAGTATTTCCTATTTGGTTTTAGTTTACATTTTGTTTGATGGTGTTTTATTATTATATACCTATCACAATTTTAAAATCACAAGGCTTTGTCTAGTCTTTTGCACTAAAATCAGTGTTAAGATACTTATTTGATCTTAATATTTTTGCAATAGTGCTATATAAATTGTATACCAGAAGAGCAAAATATCAGCTACCACAAGTGAAATTAACTTACTTTTGGTTTCCTAGAACTTTTGCTACAATTTTTTCTAGGCACATGTAGAATTAATTAAGGGGAGATACAATATGTATTTCCAATTTTGCTTTTTAGTTTTACCAATACAATTAGCCTTTTTGTAGTTTTCTGCTCTGATAAAAATTTGTGATTTATAAATTAGAATGCATTATACACAATAATGTGCTCAAGTAATTTTCAGCAATTTTTGTCAACTAAAACAAGAATATTTGAAAATTTCGTGTTCAAAATTTAGAAAAATTTTTGGCATCTGTTAATTATATATTACTTATATAAATTTCAAAATTTATTATTTTAGAATACACATGAAACTGCCCAGGCTATTAAACATATGCCATTGCGTCGTGCTCAACGTTTTCTAAAAGCAGTCATTGAGAAAAAAGAATGTGTTCCATTCCGTCGATTCAATGGAGGTGTTGGTCGTTGTGCACAAGCTAAACAATGGAAAACTACACAAGGACGTTGGCCAAAAAAATCTGCAGAATTTCTTTTACAATTATTAAGAAATGCTGAAGCAAACGCAGATTACAAAGGTTTAGATGTCGATCGTTTAGTAATTGATCATATTCAAGTTAATCGTGCTCAATGTCTGAGACGTCGTACATACCGTGCTCATGGTCGTATTAATCCATATATGTCATCACCATGTCACGTAGAAGTTATTTTAACAGAAAAAGAAGAAATTGTAGCAAAAGCGCCTGAAGATGAACCAGCTAAAAAGAAATTATCAAAGAAAAAAATGCAAAGGCAAAAAGAAAAAATGATGAGAAGTGAATAAAAAAAAAACTAATTAAAACTTCTATAATTGAATGTGTAAAATTAATTAAGAATTTTTATTAAAAGAGACAAAAACTATCTAAAACAGTCCGTTTTTAAGGATCATTTTTAATTAGTTCCCAAAAAATTTTTCATTTTATTAGAATGTGTAGTAGAACAAGCAGTACATAATCATCTAATTCAAATTCTTAATATTTTTTAATTATATTTCTTGAAAATTCCTGAAATGAGAATAATTATCATAATTCTATTTTTTTTAAGATGTTTCCTTGAGAGTAACTTGTAAGTAGCTATCTTAATTCACATCTGAAAATTTAATGGTTTACTGATAAAATATAAAATGATGACTTATAAAAAAAAAATACCCGCATGATGAGTTAACTTGAATTGATATTGGGAATAAATTCATGTTCTTATACTTAGCACTTATTAAAAAATGAGGAGCCATCATGAATTTTTTGAATCTAGTTTCCAAGAAATTAATATTGAAATTGTTAAAATTTTCGTATAAATCACGTATAACTGTTAACACCAAATTTCTTTTATTTCTTGACTGTTATATTTATTTTAATTATGCTTCTACTACTTACATATAGATGTCGCAAAATGTGAATCAAAATTTTTTATCGTATTTATGATTTGATGCAGTAAAAATATCAAAAAAAAATAATTTTACTAAATTCAATTTATTTAATAATTATCTATATCATTCCACTTCTTCTTCGTTATACTAATATTTCATATAAAATACAAGATAAACAAAACATAAATTCGATAAAATCATTTCAATTTAATCTAAAATTTTCATTTTGTTGAAATTGTTATACGAAATAACTCTTATTTTAATTTTAAACTAGTTTTGATTTATTTACGTTTTTATATTTAGAAAGGAAGTTCATAAGTAAACAAAGTTTATTTTTTATCTTTTCAATGACAATATTATTTTTCCTGATGACCGCTAAATAATAAAATAAAAGTTTATTTTCATTTTTAAATCAAATTATGTATAATAGAATTTAACAAAAAAAAAAGCTTGATTTTTTTTTTTAATAGAAAAGAATGATGTAGAAAGTATAGGAACATCTTTATTAGAAGGAGGGTGTGTATGTACACATAGGAAGGATGTATCTACATACGTTTATTATTTAAATAGAATAAATATTTTCTTTTTTCAAATAAAATTAATTTTTATGTATTTATGTTTGTAAATTGTTCGTATGTAATTAATCAAATTACCACGTGTATGTGAGAGAAATCTGATCAAAACATTACTATTCGAATTACAGATTGCTAGATTATTATACTGAATTATTTTTTAGGCAAATTGGGAATATTTACATGATTATCATTGTTAGTTTCAAATCTATATACATAGATAACTCAAGTTTCAATTCACTGGAATTAAATACAAGAAGTGCATTTGCTCAAAACCAGCTTATATTTACGGTATTTCTTTTAATTTTTTAAGGCATAGTTATTCCTTCTTGTCAAACCACGGTTCTTATAATACAATAAAAAAAATTATTATTTAAACATAAAAATTTCCGCTTATGTTATGTTAAATATTAAAATTAATTATAATGCTACTTAAATTTGAACAGGTTTGATATAAATATATTAAAATTGATATTAAAATACAGCATTCTATCAGAGACCGCTTCTTCCATTGGTATAGGAATAATTAAATTGATAATTTTCTATTGAACTGCAACAAAATTCCGAATGCTAAAACTATTATTTATTATTAATAATTATTAATTATTAATTCCAAAATTTTCAATTTTTGAGTGTGAGAAATTTCTTTATGAATTTGACGTACGTACATACATACGAGTATAATACTATCTTTGTTTATTTATTAAATTCATTTACATAATGAAAATTAAAATTAAAAGAACAAAAAAAAAATTCATTATCATACAATAATTCAATTTCATTATATGCATTGAATTATATTATAGTATGTATGTATTACATTATATATAGGTACTTTATGTAGTCTATAATTTTAGGTGTCCATTACAAATTGTTAAAGTTCAACACTGTACTAAAAAAAAAATAAAATCAAATATCGTATTGCAGTTTAGTTTCTATTTTTTTATATTTGTTTTTCATATTGTAATTTATTTTATATTCACTTGAATATAAAATTAAATAAAAGAATTTTTAGACCTATAATGTAAGTATACAATACTTTATAATTTGTATCTAACAACAATGATAAAAACAAAATAATAACAATAGTCCCACAAAAAAAAAACAAAAACAAAAATAAACAAATGAAATAATAAATGATCTTCACAATTTACGATTTAAATAAAAGTGGACGTTTGATTTACCAATTGTATCCGTTAATTAATTTTTAAGCGCCCTCTTCTGACAATATCATAATAACTTAAATTAGATTTGAATCAATTTAAATTTTTTTTTTTTATAAATCTCTCTATATTATTATATCTTATGATTACATTTTACATTTTTATTAAATTTAGAAAAAAATATATGTATATTATAAATTTAATATTTCGTTTATATACAATTTGGATTTTTTTAATGTTCGTGGCACTATTTGTATAAATTAAAGGTTATATCGTAAAATAATTTTTGTTCGTGCGATTTGCAATTAATTTTAAATAAATTATTTTTTAATTATTCTTCAATTAATATTAATAAAAATTTTTCATTTAATAATGAAAATTAATAATAATTAATGTTAATATTAATTTAAACAAGTTTTATTTAAATATAATTACTATAATTAGTATTTAATTAAGGATCCATCGATATGATGTTTTTTTTTTTTTAGATTAAAGAAAGTATTTTTTTTTGCACCAAATAATTTGTTAGTCTTTCAAGAAATATTTAATCTTTGCAAAGACATTTGAGACACTCAGGCGCATTAGTGGCCTACTTGAAATAAATTGCGATTGAAACGTTAAATATTAAAAGAGTGAAAATTGAAGTAAACTAAGTATATTTTGAAAATATAGAATAATTACAGCTCTATTGAGCACAATAACTCATTTTACAAAAATGTTGGGTAGGCTTCTAATGCCTTGTGCGAGGCACATTAGTGACCTATCGAAATTATTTGAATATTACTTTAAGTTCGTAAATGAATAAGATGAAAAATATACGTACATACACACTTAATTAAAATAAATAAAAATGTCATACGCTATATGTATGTAATTGAGATTATACGATCAAGAGATTTCAAATTTTTTTCTTGATCTAGTTGCAAAAATACAAGACCAAGTATTGTCTTTATTTTTTAAAATTTGATGGCTAACATTAAAAATTTCATAATATCGTAAAATAAGAATATTTTAAATAAGTTAAATATCTTTTAGTTGACCAGATCAACTAAATTTTTAAATAAAAAAAAAAGTTTTTGTTTAAATTTGGATTTTTTTTTTTTTCAGAAATTTTATTGTTGCAAAATGTTCTATGGGTTAAATTTAATTTAAATCCAAAATAAAAAGGAAAAAATAGAAATAAATGAAAAATAGTGTATTTTTTGACGGTCATGTTTTTTAGTTTTTTATAAACTTTTGTCGATGCAACTATCATTTCGTTTATCTTTTTAAATGTATTACCGTTGTTAAAGTTTAACGAATTCTTTTTGTTTTTAATGTTGTATTTTAAATATTAAAATAAGAAATTATTAAAACGGTTAATATATAAGAAAATATTCTTATAAATTTATAAAATCAATAATTCAATAAAAATTTATTATATAAATGGGATGAAAATAAAATAAAAAAGTTTATTTTAATTTCATAAAAATTTTTTAAAAATAAAAGATTAGAATACAAGTATAACAAAAATAAAAAATCGCCATAGCATTAAAATGTGATTTGCTTTCTTTTTCTAAGTGAATGAATGAAAAACGGTGATTTATACGATCAGTTTTGATTTAATTTAATGGTATAGCAAAAAGGTTTAACCCTTTATTTTTTGATTATCGCGACGCGGTTGTATAATATAGTCAATAGATCTTTGAATGGGAAATTTATATACAAGAATATTATTGTGCTATTTAAAAAGTAAGATTGTTGATTTTAATAAAAAATAAAAATTAAGTTAAAAGTAAAAAATTAAAATGTTATGAAGAATAATTAAATAAGTAAAAATAATGATAAAAAATTTATAAAGTGAATTATAACCTAAATAAAATATTTTAAATATTATCTAGTATTTGAATTTTATAATCTTACATGTTTTTATATGTTAAATTGATGTAATCATTTATTTTTGACATTTTTTAAGATAAAAAATAAAATTAATTTTTTTTTTTATTGTAAAATGTCAATAATATTATTAAATAAAAATGTGATCAATTATTGTATACTTGTAATACGTAATTTACAAGTATAAAAATTAATTATTGTATTTACAATTTATTATCTTAATATATGTATATTTAATTAATTCAATAATTTGTACGTAAACTATTATATATATACAGAGAGCGCGTGTATTATTAGCATAATATTAATTTTTAATTGAAAAATTTGTAATAAATAAAAAGATATAGGGTTGCATGAAATAAAGCCATAATTTGAAAAACAAAAATAAAATTGAAGATTTGATTTTCTTAAGAAAGGATTATGTTGTTCATTTTATTTGACTTTATATAGGTTCTGAGCAATTCTCTTATTTTGAAATCAATCGTCCTACAATTTTCGAATCTTCTTAAATTTTAGTACTTCACGGTTCCAGTCCTTCAATTTTAAAATCAAATTTTGGTTAATTTGCAGGTAGTACATATAGGCTAGACAATTACTAAAGGAACTTCATTTAAAATTGAAGCGGTAAGTCGACAAAGGGGACAAAATCTGGAAAAAATTTACATTTATATTGTAAAACATTTTTTCATTAACATTGTATTGTAAAACTATTAATTTTTTTGTTACTTATCTCCTATGTGCAGATTGACAATCTTGTCTTCTATTAAGTTTCTAGCTCTAAGAGTAATCACAGTTGAAAATATATGAAATTTAATGATGTTTTATCCGAAAAGCTCGATTTTCGTCAAAATGTTAGTTAACCCCTGTGTCCAATTACCTCTTCAATTGTTTTCATGATGCAGTAATTCTCGCAATTAGTCTCGTATGTAAATGTTTTGAAGAAGTCGTTTTGCGGAATTTAAAATACTTAAGATGTTCTGTAATCATATGAAAAAAAAATTTATATTTAAATTTGTTATCAAACAATATTATTTAAATAGTATAACAGAATTTAATGACCGCAATTCTGATTTATTTATAGTAACAACCAGATTTTATTAATTATATATATTTAATTCAAATTTTAATTAAAAAATCATTTTACCTGTTTTTATTCATTTTGGGTTTTACAATATAAACGTGAATATGTATGTTGTGTGATATTAAGCTAAATTCAATTATAAGATTAATTACAATTCTCTTTAATTATATATTTACAGACTTTTTTTTTTAAATATTTCCTAAATATTTTGAATCAATTAAAATTTCACCTGTGCTCCTTCAAAAAAAAAAATGAAGTTTTTAATATGAATTTAAATAAAGAAATATAATTTTATAAAAATAATTTCCATATTATTGCAAAATAATTAAAAAAATATTGTATATATTAAAAAATATAGTAAACAAAAATTAATTAAAATTAAAACTAAAATTTACAATAATAATTAATTATTTATCTTGAATATTATTTGTGTAAAATTTGTGTAAGAGAAATTTTGTGCATAGTAAATTGAATTTTTAAAACGCAAAAACTGTCATAATAAATTTATATCATAATTATTACAATTACTATTATTATTATTATTATTATTATTAGATTTTCAAATTAATTAACTTATTAATTAGTTATAGTAGTAAATTTTAATAATAACAACAAATTTATTATTATAATTTTTGTTTTTCTTCTAATTTACAATAGCATCAATACTAACAAATACACAATATAATTATTAATAATCTAATTTCATTGCATCATTAATATGTAAGTATAAAATATTAAAATTAATTTTATGCAATATAGTAAATGCATTCATTCTATTTCAAATTGCAATAGAAATGAGAGAAAATAATATTAAAAAAAAAAGTTGAAATACTTTAGTCAAGGATAAATTTTATATAATTTGTCAATGATTTAGTACATTACTTTTGTGAATATATATTATATATATGTATTTTGTATATATGTACATTTTAAGAAGTAAAAATAAAATTTGTATAGGATAAAATCAATGCGGAATAAATTGGATATTATTTGATAATTCTAGTTTATTCCGGTATTTTTTGTCAACTACATTAGATTTTAAAAGATTTTAATAAACCACTTTTAAAAATATCAAAAAGAAAACAAAAAAACCACTATAATAAAACTAGTGTAATAGTGCTTTAGAATAATAAGTATGTATATGAATAAATGGCAATAATATATATCACATAAATACATTTCAAATTAATTCTATTTGGACAAATATTTAAAATATATAAATATTTTTTTAATATTAATATACAATAAGGTTCTTTGAACTTAATTGAATTATGAAATTTCTTTTAAAACTAAATTTCCTATAAAACTCGATTAAATCCGTTCAAATTTCCCAAATTTAAAAAATCAAATTTCAAGATTTTTATCTTTAAATTATGCTTATTGTATTTTAGAAAAACCTGTAACAATAATACAAGTTTATTATCTGGAGTATTGGCTTAAATGGGTTATGTTATTTTAATTCCTAATATCATTTCATTCAATTATAAAATCACGTATTCAATTGCAGAACCCAAAAACGTTTATGTAAAATAAATAAGATTTTAGCCTAAAAGTAAAGAAAATTTTTTGATATTAGCATAATGGTACTGGTTTTTACAGTGTGAATTTATTACACTGCGATTATCATATATGTTAGATTTCTTTCTGTTAGTAATTTTATTTAAAAAGCAATTTATTTTTAACAAATATTTATCAAATATTCATAATGGAATTTAATGCCGGATTATTCGATGACCTTTGCTTATTTTGGGTTTTTACATGAATTTATATTATTTATTTTAAATATTTCACTTCTTAAATATAATTCACATTTTAAATACAATTTTAATTCCTTTTTTTATACAATTAAAAGTTTTCTAAAAGGTTTATTATTAAACTTTAATAATTGTTTTAAATGAGAAATAATCGCACATGCATTTTGAAATTAAATTTAATTATTTATTTCTACTTTAATTAAAGCTACTTATATCGTAGAGATCAAAGATTAAAATCAGTATTTTTTGCTAATACTTAATCTAATATATACATTTAACCCTGTATAAAAAATATTGTTGAGAGGTTTTATATAATTGTTATATATATATATGATCTGTTATTGATGTTAATCAAAAATTTTGTATAATATTTAGAATAAAATTAATTTTGAAATTTAAAATCTTATAATAAAATACTCTATAATCTTATCATAATCTAACTATGCGTCTAAGTATGTATTGTATAAAGTTGTATTTAAATATATCAAACATTTAAGTATGTTAAAGTTTATTTTATGAATTCCCTTATTTATTATAGTGCGACCTAATATCTCGTCATGTTCAATATTAATAATACTGTAATAATATTCTTAAAAAGTCCTTATACATAATTTAAATTCAATTTGAGTTAAAAATTATAGAACATAGTATAACAAATAAAATTTTATGATCTAGTTTATTTTAAATATTTTAAGTTCAAAAATCAAATTTTTTATACATATGTGTACATATATATATGTTTATGTGCAATTATATAAGTTAATGCTCTAAAATAAATGAATATCTATATTTATTTATATAATATACATACAATATTCAACTTATAAGTTCATTATAATAATTTAATATTATACTATATTTATATGTGTATAATATTGTAATAAAATATTTGAGAAAATTCTTAGTACTTTAGTATATATTATAAAATTTATTAAATAATAAATTTGCCCTCAAAAATTAAGTTAAAAAGAAATTACTATCATGTAATATACTCATATTTTTTTTTTTCAAATAAATCAACATATAAAAAAAATAATTCACATTATAAGAGTTGGACTTTAAATAAAATTCATTTTTCAGTGGAAATCTCTTGACGGTATATTTTATTTTTAATTTTTTTCTTTTTGCATTATTATTTAATCAAATTAAATTTAATAAACGAAACATTTATTATATATATTATAATATTTTGTTATATTCAGTGGTTGTATTTCACGTAAATCGCATTATTTTCTTAATTCGTTTATACAATTGAGAAGAAAAACCTAAATTTAAAAGAAAAAAAAAATCAGCACAGAATGCGGACTACATTTCTTATGTAAAAAAAAAAAAAAAAAAAATAAATTATATAGGCGCAAAAAGTAATAATTTTAATTTTAATTTACAATTTCATGTTTCAAATATATATACTTAGATACATACATACATGTTTGAAATATATTAAACAATATAAATAAAGCTTTACATATTTCAGAAGAGTAGAACAGAAATATATTTGTATAATTTGTAAAATTTTAATTAAAAATAAATTTCAGATTATGAAAATTTCTAATTATAAAAAAAGAAATGCTTTAATTTTTTAAGAACCACTAAACATAACGATCAAAACTCGCTAAAGCTCAAAAGTCCATTTGATAACTCGCAGTATATATATATTCTAATAGTATACAATTAATTTGAGCCCACCCTGTAAATATCTTTAAATAATAAAAAAATATTCCTATATATATATGTCTGATCTTTATATACTTGTATTTATAATTTATTGTTACTAGAGAGATTTCTGAATTGATATAGGAAAGTAGGAAAGGAAGACTTATATTAATTTATACAAGTATACAATAACATATAAAAATAAAATAAAAAAAAAAAATTGCGGAAAATTTCTTGCTTATAACAAGAACTGAATTATTTCAATTATCTATGTAAAAATTTCATATCTTTTATTTGTTATATAAAAAAAAAATTCGTTATATTATTATTATTGCTGCTGTTTTTATAATATGTACATATTTTATCTT